TTTTTTCTGCGAGGTACCAAGACTTTTGGATCACCCTTTATTTCATTCGTACCGTAACTGAATTAGCTATCTGAAAGAACTTTACCTAAATTCTTAACTATTCGATTGAGTCAATAATTCTCTTCCATTGCTATTTGAAATAAGACATTCCTCCGTTACAATCCGAGAACAAATAAGGCTCTTGCAATGCGATAAACTATATAAAAAGTCGTTGCTACTGAGATGGCTTTTGATAAATCTCTTCGGCAACTGTAATCAATTCTGACAATTAGGTTTAATCCATCATACTCACCACGATACTGACCGTTGGAATTGTAAACAATTAAATCAGGAGGAAAATTTTACAATCTCCCTAAAAACGAAACTACCACACAGCTATGGTGATAATATTTTCAAAATATCTCTCATATCTATCGAAATAGAATTTAATTGAAAGAAGCAAAGAAAGTCTTTGTTCTTTCTTCTAGTTGAAAAGTAATCGTAATTTTGATGTTCATTTAAATCCGATAAAATACTTGATAATATAATAATGGAAGGATTTCTTATTGATAGTGATGAAGTAAGTGCAAGAGCAATTCGTCGATATTGTTGTAAACATATGCCAATAAAAAATGATAAAAAAAAAACAATTAGATTCTGAAGAATGTTTAAATTTACAATTTCAAGAAAAGGAACAAATTGCTATTGGAGAAGAACAAATACAACATGATTTAGATGAACAACACACTTATAGAGGTAAACATTTTATTTTTTATCGTAAAATAAACTCTTTGTTTTTTTTTTCGTTTAGATATAACAACTAGTGCAATATTATTAGAAGAAGAACCTCCACAAAGCTATGATATAACAATAAATGATTCTATACCGTTAAATTTAGGTCCTTGTTTACACTGATCTGATTATGAGCGGCAACTACCAAAAACTTGGCCAAGATTTCGTCGCGAAATTGGTTACATATCATTTGATAGTTCACTTTCTCAACTAACTTATCATTTAGATAAATAATTTAAACGTTTTGCACATATTTCAACAAAACGTGATAAATGTTTATATGATGTTTATAAAGATTATTCAGAATTTATGGAAAAAGTTCGATTAAACTCTGAAAAACGATTTTCACCGATTTGATTCAACTGATCTTCGTCCATTTATTTATTGGTATGCACAAAAACAATATCTTTTTTCTTCAACTAATCAGCATATAGGGTGTGGGTAGTATGGGTGCTGATCTTCAATGGACATCCAAACTCCACACCCTTCTAATCGAACACATGGGTATGCATAGAAAAGAAAAAACACTCACAGTAAAGAGTATTGCAAAAATTTAATAATACAATAGCAAGAATTGTATTTCGTAAATACTATATAATTAATTTAATTATGAAAATAAAATTTTAGAGCATAAAAAAGCTGAAATAAAAATGCATATATAACGACGTAATAACAATGACGTTGAACGTTTTTTCTTGACACTTTGACATCAATAAAAGTATAATTGTATGTAGTTTCGAACAAAAATGAAAGTGAGTGGATGATGGAGCAATATGATTTCTTGATTCGGATGTTCTACCATTAAACTACGGCAGTTTAAACTACTGCCGGTGGGAATCGATCCCACGCCACCTGCGTGTAATGCAAATACGAACGATGAATCGTTTTCGCTAAAGCATCCGATTACAAAGGCAACTTTTCATCCTATTTCATGCATACTTGGCAGCATATTTTACTGCATCATTTTCCGCCTCCGAAACTGTTTGTGTACTTCAATAATGGTCAACAATCCTTATTGCACCATTTTGAAAAAGAATATTAAATCGAGAAATAAATTTTTAAAAAAATTAAATTTCTTTTAAACAAAAATTTAAATATGGGATGGATTTAAGAGAGTATGTTGATCTTTAGTTGTGCCTCAGGCACATCCATTCGGTCATCGTCAGTCGTACCCTCAAGCATGTGCAGTAACACAGACTTACATTCTCGATATAAAAAGTATCTATATTATTAACTAACTGTTAAACCAGACATTTGTGTTTCTAAAAAATATGAGATTTACATTTTCTGAATATACCGATCCAGCTAACATATTCGTTTGTTCAAAATGTTAGCAGAGAGATCCTTTTAGAGATGACTAGGAAAGTTGACTTGAAGGATGCAGAGATATTGATATTAGTGTGAAAAATGTCAAATATCATCAACGTCTTCGAATTCAATGGCTTAGTACCATTCAATCATCCAGATGAAGCAATTGATGCGAGACATTCGTTATTTAAAGCATATAGAGTAGAATTAATAAAACCGTTATGAGTGCGGATCTATTTCTCAGTGAACATCCAACCACATCCACGTCCAAGATACAGGAGACGAAGAAAGGTGTTCTGTTTTTTTGTTTAACATCATCATGAAAAGCTAAAGAAAAAATGACTTATTGATTCCATATTGATAGTCATACCAAAAAAAGAACGAGAGGGAAAATAAAATCGAAATAGATCTTCTTTCTTGATAATATAAAACCATGTTACCCCGACCCACACCCATGTCCTTTACACGATTTACACAAAAGATGGTGATCCAATGATATTGATGATGAACTACAACACAGTGATTGTCCGCTACTTCAAAAAAGACATACAATTGTCCATTATATAAACTATACAATTAAAAGAGGCACAGAAAATCCAAGAAGATCTAGAAGATCTAGAACAACAAGAACAGCACAATTTTTGTCATTGGTTAAGTCAAATGTTGAGAATCAACGAAGAAAATCTATCCGAAAAATAAATGAATTATTGAAAAAAACGGATTCACATCTTCCTATGGTAATGTTCAAAGGGCATTGAAAGAGAATATTATACCTTGGTGTCTAGCAAGATCTCGAAAAATTAGTTCTGTACAACGACAAGAAAGAATAAATAGTGCAAAAAAAAATATTGAGAAGATTCGGAATGAGACCAGCACAATCATATTCCAAATGGAAACATTTAATTAACACGGATCTTAGTGGACAAATAAATTTTATACGAAGATATAATAATAAAAATGATATAATTTGGTTCACGAGCAAAGCAACAGTACCTTTTTGCATTACAAACCATTGACCAACAAAAATATAGCCCTGGTGTTATTTTATTTGGTGGTATTTCTTCACGTAGTGTAATTCCAACCAGTTCACCGATTTTCATCCACGAATAATTAAAATTCGAATGTAACAAGAGGAACAAAGAACAACTCACTATAAATAGATTTTTTGTATATCAAGTTGACAGAACAAGAGTTTAAACCCCACATCACTAGATTATATGATGATGTTGGTATCATTTGGCAAGATGATGCTGATCCCAAACACCGTTTTCGATATACCTTGGAAAAAATGAATGAAACCTTTTCTGAACGTATTCAACCTGAAGAACAAACCAGTGAAATGGCTGATGTGTGACTTATTGAGAATGTCTGAGGTTATATCAACGAAAAATGAGGGGAGAAAGAATTTGAAAACATGAAAATGTTAAAAAAACAAATCGTGACAATCTGGAATACCATCAATCTGATTATGTGCTCAAAATGAATCAGCTCAATATAGAGAAGATTAGAATCTTTGATGAAGAATAAAAGTTATTCAATCAACAAAAAGAACAATAGAACTGCGTAAAAATTATGAATTATTACATCATTTGCTATTGTATTTATAATAAAAATCAGTTTTTCCAGAGGTTTTATTAGCTAAAACATGACCACGTCATACGAAAAAAGAATCTTCTCTATAACTTGAGTTATAGTGATGAAAATTTAGGATAATGATCATCTAGGACTGATTGACTACCTATCCAAGTTTGAACATTTTCTTATTTGTCATAAGGGTGAAAATGGAATTTTTCTATGAAGCAACAAGACTCTTGACTCACCCTTTAAATGATATTTTCCAAAATCTTATTCGATTAAATGATCAAGCTTTTATGCCCTTTTTGATTATACAAAGTCTAATTAAACTAACTCAATTATTACATATCTTTTGAAATTGAAAATATGATATGGAGCAAAGCTCTATGGTTACAGTTTGATTTTTAAAGGTTTGAAATCAGAGTCAATACCTGATAGAAAGCGAGGATGAGATTGAAAGGATGAGCGACAATGGTTGAGAAAAAAGACTGAGAATGGGTGAAAATAGGTGGTTAATATGTTTAAATAATAACTTTATAAATCCACTCAATATCATTTTTGCACGCCAACTCACTCTCACCATTAATCGCTCTTCCTTAGATCTTCAGTATTCGGAATTTTACTCACTCACTCATCATCAACTATCATTTTTCTTAGCTGTCACCCACTTATTTTCGTTTATTCTACAGTGGGCGTCATAAGTCTCTCCCACTTTTTTGTTTTGGACCGTGTTTCACAATGGTACGACCTTTTCTCAACTATTTTTTTTTTCGTTCGAAGGAGGAGTTCAAGTACTACATATATGTGTTCGGATTTAATACGAAAAACTCTTGCATATGAAATACATAAAAACCAATCAACTTCAGTACTAAGAAAAAAAATAACACAAAAAAAGACACAATGGTGTTGTTGTCATACGATGCGTCCATGGTTAGTCAACCACAAAAAAAACACAAAGTATTCAGGAATCTTTTCTTTTTATCAGATTTGGTAGAGCTTTTTTTGCTGATCATTTTGGTGGAAAAACATTTTGGTTCTTCATGAGAAATGATGGTTTTATAATCAAAATATTAAACACTATGAAATACTAGCTGCCCCAAAATGTGCGCAACATAGTTTGCTTCGGAAATATCTCCTCACAGATAAATGACATAGAATCTTAGATTTTTTTCAAATATGCGCCGTGAAGAACTCTACAAAAATCTGTGAAAACAAATTCCAATTGACTTCTCCCATACTCAAAATAAAAGAAAGAACACATGATAGTGCTCCTTTCCAACCAATTTAACGTGATAAAAATGTTTGGAAGACTTTTCTATTTTGAATGCATCTCGGCTTAAGAAAATGATAGCAAATTATTTTTCTTTTAAAATATGAACCGCGAAAATCTCTACAAAATCTGTACACACAATTCCTATTGCAAAAAGAAAGACTTCCAAACATTTTCATTATCATTTTGTGTTTATTTTTTTGTAAGTACTGAAGTTTGTTGGTTTTTATGTATTTCATATTCAAGAGTTTTTCGTATTAAATCCGGATACATATATGTAGTACTTGAACTCCTCTATCGAACGAAAAAAAAAGTAATTGAGAAAATGTCCCACCGTTGGGTATTCTGTTTTAAACGTGTTTCGCATCATTTGTGCTTGAAATAATGCAGAATGCAACCATATTGCTACACCATCTCGCAGTAATTCAACTTTAAATAGCATGTATGTTAAGAAAAATCAACTCCTTGACATAATTTTGAAAATTATGCGAAACGGTTTTACAAAAGCTTTGCTGTTTGCATTGTTTGCTACCGTGAACATCGTGGTGCAGGTCTTCTGTAGGCAAGATTGAAAATCAAATTTTTCTGAGAGTTAAGTGGATTGCATCATTTTCTAAAGCTTAGTCAAAGTTAGAGTAGTATCGAACATCAGAGTGTAACAAAAGAATGTGTCTTCTGCTAGAAAACTCATTTAGCCATGTTTTCATGCAAAGAGAACGCGTATTGCAACGTTGAATCAAGCATTATTTTAAATATTGAATAACTTCAGTGAAAACTGATGCAAAGATAATACATACGACAGCTTAGCGTGGTTATGTGTGAAGAAAAAAGCATTCTCGCGTAATTTACGATTCCTAATAATAATCATTATGAACTTATGTATGGACTATCTAATAGTGGCTGACCATGCTATTTGCAACACGGCTAGAATATGATTTTCATTCGTACAGTATCAATGTAGCTACGAGTGGCTTGTTGATAAACGAGACCCGAATAACAGAAAAAAACCTTTCGTTCATTTATCAATGTACTTCTATTTAGAGGTCATAAAATTACATTTACAAAAATTTATTAAATCCGAAAAAAGTTTTGAAAAATTTAAATTTAATTCAAATTTAAATTTTAGTGAATTGAAATTTATAAAATTTAATTTTTTTTTCTATTTCAAATCCAATTAAATTCATTTTCATTGGGTATTCAAACTTTAAAAAAGGTTGCAAATTTAAATTTTTAAAGTTAAATTTAAAATAAATTAACGGGAAAATGAAATTCCTACTTGAATACAATCAGCGAAAAAAAAATACAATTTTTCAATCATTCCCATGTGGAACAGGAAATTTCTTCGAATCAGAAGTTTACATGAGACATATAAAGCAGATTAGAATAAACACTCACATCATTCGACTATTTTAGTTGAACGGTTTGTGTGCATATCTTCTACTCTTATTTTATCGTGTTCAAATCCACTTCATAACCTTATCGAAATTCATGTAAATTATAGCTAGAGTTCTATGAATCAATGTAAACGAGTATATAGATACCAACTGCAACTCAAGTTCTACGAAGTACTTGATGGTTTTCAGTTTTTTTCAAGCTTCCGAAACATGCGATACCACAGTTTGAGAAACATTGCGAAACATATCAATATTGGTCAACTGAACTCATTTTGCACGTTTTGAACAGAATGATATGAAATGCCTTTAACAAATGATTGTTTCACAACATTTATTTTAGCAGATGAGGAATGCGTTAAACCGGTCAGCATTGACGCGTTTTCAGAAAGCGTTTTTTTCGCAAAAATTCACGCTATGGGTCTGATTTCAAGACTTTAAAATAAGGTGTAAGTTAGAAGCTTTGCTCCGTATTATATTTTCAATTACAAAATATATGTAAAAACTGACTTAGTTCAATGAGACTTCGTATAACAGATAAGCTCAAATAACTTAATCATTTATTGGAATAAGAGTTTGGAAAATATCATTTATTTCGTAAAAACAAGGTCGTGGGTTTCGGTAGTGTTCTTTTCTATAAAAATACCTACACCCTTCGAGTAGATGCAATTGCATTGTTTTCGGGTGGTAAGTTCTTAGGAAAGGACAAACAGAATGATCTGAAATTTTAGATAATAAACTATTCTCGTTTAGACCTGTCTCTGTACGAAGTTTCATGTCAACGCTTGAAACTCAATTTTTGTGATGGGTGAAAACAGCATTATGCTAATAAATACAATATGTTGGTAACGATAATCTACTAATTCGAACTTTTTTCAGGGTATCCATAGTTCATTAGGAGAACCTACACGATATACATAGTCCTAATTCACAAAACAATTCAATACTTGGAAATGATTCCTTCCTAATAGAATAATCATGATAGATTTGTTAGACTGAGTGATAATCTTGTGACATGGTATAGTTAAATCTATTCAGGATCAGATCTGAACAATTTATTGCTGCACAGCAGTCTCAGAAGAGTCATTCACAAAGTAATTCTATGAAGAGAGATCAGCCTCTCCAATACAATAATTGTTTGATCAGATCAATCGTGTCTTCTGTTTTTAGTGTAAAGTGATTCAGTTATTCTAATAATCATGCGTTGGTAGAGCGAGATTGAACGACACGAGACTTTCTTATTATTATTTTTTCTTTCCAAATATTATTGAATGAGCAAAAGCAGCTTAAATCCCATGGCATTTGAGAAATAAAAAAAGGAAGGAGTGCACACAGAAACGTTAATTTCAAACAATAGAGATTTTTTGGTGCATGTTGTTGCAGTATTACCTATTTTTTCTTTTCAAGGACTGCATAAATACTGAAATCATTCTACGCACGGTAAATATTATTTTAATATTTAGTGTAATGAAGTTTATACTACATATGTAAACTTTATTGGTTTCTGTCTATTCAATAATGGCAATACTATCCATTGTCTGCAACTCGTCAAATTATTGTTGAACGTTTGAAACTTACATTCATTCTTTGTAGACTTCTTCATTAATCTGGACCACACTAAATGCCCCAAAATTTCTTTTCCCTACAAGCAAACACTATTTTATTTAAAAAATTGCAAGTTTTTTTTAGAAGAGGTGGTATTCTATGTATTATTTAGTTTTTCATTCATGAACAATTTATTATTTTAGTGATTATCTTAATATCTTTCAATACGAAAGAACATTCAGCTTAAACGATTTCGAAATCGAAATATTATGTACTTATTTGTATGCTTCGATTTTTCATCAACCGAACTCATGTTATGATTTTTTTTGATTGATTTTTGTTTTTAACTTATGAACATATATTTGAACTGTACTTACAACAAAAAAAGCAAATAGCCATCAATATTGAATTACATACGTCTTATTTTTAGATTCTGATATTATTATATTGTTAAGTTAAATTATTTCATGATATGTAAATACTTAATCAATGAAAACATTTTTATTTAATAGGTTCATTTTTTTTAAATAGGGCAACTAATGTAGGCGATGCGCCAGCACCAGTTGCTGGTCCAGGATCTGGTGGTTCGAGACGTTTGGCTCAACAACAGGCACAAATTGATGAAGTCGTAGATATAATGAGACAAAATATTGATAAGGTGTTAGAACGTGATAAAAATTTGTCACATCTCGACGATCGAGCTGGTATATTGAAAAATCAGGAAATTCATTTTTAGAGTTTTAATCCTTTGTTTTTTTTCCCTTGAAGATAAATTACAAACTAATGCAGCTCAATTTGAAAAACAGGCAGGAAAATTAAAACGAAAATTTTGGTTGCAAAATATGAAGGTAAATAATTATACTATAAGTATAGAAAATTTTACTTTTTTCTACTTATGATCTTTGACAAAATAAATTCTTCTTTTCTTATGTGTCATTGTTAGATGATGATTATTATGGGAGTAGTGGGTACTATTTTTATCATTGTGGTTGGAGGTAAATGTTAATGTTGTCTTGATTGTTTTGCTTTTATTTTTTCATTATTCCATCATTATTGGATTTAGATGCTAACTAATTTTTAAATGCAGGCATTATATATTTTCTTACTTTCTTTCTTTAGCATACATTTACTCAAAAGTTAAAGCAGTTGCACCTGCTTTCCCATCTATTGATGCAGGAGGAACATCTAATCCATCGGTACAAGATGAATTATCGAAAGTAACTGCCGCTTCTATGACTACACCAATGGAAGAAAAAGTAACAACAAAACGTCCTCGACGTCGACGGAAGAAAACAACAACAGCAACTAATCTAGCCGTTTCAACAGTAGTATCAATAAACAATAATAATGAATCCAATGATGGACAAGATACTTCAAAAATTGTTCTGAAACGAATGATTCGTGCACTAATACATTAGTCAATGATTGTCATTAAATTAAGAAGAAAATAGTTAACATAAACATTTGTTCATTTTATCACGACGACTCTCTTTTACGCTATTTTCTGTTTTCCTCTGTCGTTTTTTCCTCCTTTCATTTTGTTCTTGAGCTGAAAAAAAAAGAAATAATACTTATATTTATATCTCTAAAAGGAAACATTTCGTCGAACACATCTTCCTTTCAATTTTTTTTAATAACTTCCATTTTGGAATATAATTATATAAATTGTATTTCATTCGCTTTATTACTAAATCAATAATAATTGCTGATTGTTTCAGATTAGTATTGGGAATTACAACATGAATGTCTTAGTGTATATTGTTGAGTTTTCTTCAACACGAACATGAACGTCATGCATTTCATCATTGCTAAAAATATCGTTGCCTTATTTTAAGTGAGTCATGCAAGTATTTGAACTATAGTAGGAGATAAATTTAAAAGAGTCGTTGATAAAATAGCTACATAAATAGAGTAGTATCAATGTTTTCAATATGGCATGGGTAGAAAGAATGATTAGATGTAAAGTTCTGTGCGCAGAATAATTTGGTTCTTTCAGTGATCAATGAAGAAAGAGAGGAGTAGGATGACTAGAAAATTGCACGTCTCTCTTTCACCGTTTAATAGATCAAGATAATTTTTATAAATTTTGAAACATTTGATTCGAGTCAAAACTTTTGCAGAAGTTATATGTTAGTGACTATAAGAAAATCTTTGAAAAACAAGAATATGAATTTTAAACAGCAAGTGTACATGAAGAAAATAACTACCCATAGCGTTGCTAAAAAATGTAGATGAATTTGAATTAAAAAGATTCAAAAAGGAAGTTAAAAGTTATGAAGCCCATGCGTCATACAAAAAAACCAATGTGTTGTGTATGACTGTAATGACTAGTATTATTTGAACTTTTCTCATGTTCCCCAACTGATAGTTGCTATTTTTAAGTGTTAAAAATGAAATAACTATATCGGCAATGGAGAGTATTGCAATTATAATAACAACAATACAAACAAGTGCTAATAAAATCATCTTTACTATTTTGTGATTAAAATAAAAACAAGAAAAAACTGCAAGTATTTTATCTCCTAATATGAGAAATCAATGTCTTGCGTATAAGCTGTTATTAAAGGATGAAAAAGGATCTCGTTTTCTTTTGCCATAGAAAGATTACTTCATTATTCTCAAGCTTGCGAATGTGTTGCGAATAGGGTTGGAAAATTGCAATTTCTTTCAAGAATGAGGATATGTAGTATTTTGAGAGACGTTAATGTAATATCATACATCATATCTCAATGGAGAGGTTGATTGAATTCTTCGGAGAAATCAATGTTATAAACGCGACACATATAAACATTATAAAAATGCAAGACGGTCATTTTTGAGCGTAAAGCTAAATGCGCAGCTCTATTCGAGAGGCGAAATAAACAAGATACTCAAGAGACTTTTTAATTAATCCCTATTTATCCATCTCACATAAAAAATAGAATAGAATGATATCACAAAATAAATAAGGTTAACAGAACACTTCTCAGCGACATTCACCGATTTTACTCTAGCATACAACAATAAATTTAACCATAGAATTCGTATAATATATATATAATTCTGATATAGAACAGTAGAACTCACATAAATGTTTTTTGATTTCAATAGTAGGGTGAGTTTGGATGCATGGATGCTTGTCTTCATTCACACTCTCAAGATAAAATAATTATTTTTCAACTTATCGTATTTCATATTATTTTTATAAAAATTGAACCTATAATGGTGGACAAAAGTTTTTCGTACGATTTTGTTTTGAATGTAACTCCATCACATCACAGTCTTTTGGCATACAGTTTTCGCCCAATAGAACACGCATTGTTAGTAGTATATCTATACAAAAATTCAACACAGAAAGTCGACTCGCACATGAACTGGATTTATAGCAATTCGAAGTATTCACATTTTTTTGGACCAAATTTTTCGTACGATTTAGTAATCAAACTTTTTTCTCTAAAAAGTTTTAGAAAAATATAATAAAATCCATATGGATCAATAAAAGAAAACATGGGTTACATTTTGACAATCGAACCTGTTTCAAGGAAAACTTTCTAGTAGTAATTTGCCTAGTTTTACAAGAGATCTAACCTGATACAAATATCAACTCTTTATCTTCTTTTTACATGAAGAATTTTTTTAAACTACGACATTAGATTATTGTGACAACATTCTTGAATATGATTCTTCGAAAGTTATCACTACTTTGATATCAGAAGCATTACCTTTCTTGTGACGATGGGCATTAGATATGGAATGCATAGTGAGAACTCAGGCTATTTATAGATAAAAACTTTCCATTTTTAATCATTGTCTCCGTTATTTATCAATGTTGATTGCATACCAAAATTACCTGTATCTAATTTCTATCAACAATAAACTATTTTAAAATGTGATCGATAGAAGAAAAAACGATTATTTTTAATACAGCAATAATTCTCGATTATCCAGAGTTTTGGTATTTTTCCAAAAGGTAGTTATTCTCAATTTAATTTTTACGTAGATGATTAAAAATAAAAAAGAAATCAAATATATTGGCAGTGTCTGGAATCTTGATCCAGCACGATGGTTTATCAAAGTTTCTATATTAACAAAGATACGAGCACATTCCTAATTAAATTTCGAAAAGAGAATTATTCAAGAATTAAGATAGACTCAAATCAAATTTTGAAGACACTAAAAATTAAAATAGATTGCATCATACACACACTGAAGAACGAGATTCATCATTGGGGAATATATATTTAAATGAACAGACAAAATAGATTTTCATATTGCTCAGTACTTGAATTTCGATCATGACATTGATGAACACAAAAAATTTAGCACAGATAATGTCTTCATTTTTTCTTGACAGTATATTTTTATTTATTTATACAGATTTCACATTAGTATTAAAATTAATCTTAACATATTGGAGTGAATACGGAGTATGGCTGTCACTTTGCTTTTGGCTGCAGGTGCTGTGCATTTGCGTGACCATGTAGATGTAGCTCGAGATATGCACTAGGGATGTTCTTGTGAAAGTGATTGTGTCAGTAAACAGGAGGCATGCACCCATACCACAGCTATTTCTGAAGAAAAACAGTCCAGCTAGCAACGAATTCCGGTGGACGACTGTTATTATCGTTAGTAAGGAGTCATTCTATAAAAATAACGGCAAGCTGTTATATTCTCCGTAATGAAAGCGAACAAGCCAAAGAATTGGATTTTTCATAAATGAACCATCTGTCCATGGTTGCATTACATAATGGAAATGAATTTCTGCTAGTAATTTTTTAGATATCCTCCCATTGAGTATAATTTCCAAGGTTCATCGACAAAGACTAGATATTTGCTGAGATAGTTAGTGCACGAATAAGAGAAACCCATTGTTATTGACGTGTATTAACTCAATAGCGACAACCAAATATTTTCTAGCTCTGATAGCGATGCGGAAAGTGAAATCAGCTGTGAAAATCTCAAAAAAGAACCACGCTGAACTTTCACACTATCATTTTACGAGTTATTAACCAACTTCTATCAACATAATAGTGAAGATTATGTACTCTAGAAGATTCTAGAAGTTCAATTGTGTCAATCGATGGTTTATGTGTGTGTGTTAGTGTGCGTGTCATCGATTGTCACAGCCACACCGCCACCACCATCAACCCCGACCTCATTGATTAAAACTTTCAAGTTATCATTCTTTCATATTGACTTTGTTTCGTTGCAGAGTCTCTTGTTCCGAGACGAGCTCCAAAAATGTATTTTCAATGCCCTACCAAACCATGCTCTACTTTCACAGTACACAACATCAGCAACTTTCGTCAATGCAACAACAGTGCAAGCAGGCCAAAACTATCGAAGATTTGCACCGTTTGTCTTCCGATATTCATTTGTTTTGTCACTTTCTTTATCTTCATCAGACGCTCGAAGATAAACATTTGTTTCCTTTGATTGCCCCCTCCCCTTCCTCCTAAAAAAATAGATATCTCGCACAACTGCTGAGTTTGAAAGTTTTTCTAAGCATCTGAAGCAAGTCAAAAATTCTGACGAAGATATAGGTGTGAAGCATGTATACTTTATGGAAACTTGTCTAATGGCGACATATTTTCTTTTTCCATTCATTTTTGAGTCTTTTAACAACGTTTATTTGCGAAGATAAAATCCAGAGCCTGATGAAAACTGTGATTGATGGGATTGTTTGCATCTAAGATAAAAAAAACTTCATAAGTTACTCACAAATCATCAAAACGAATTGAAAACTTTAAGAAGATGATTCATCTTTTCTGCTAGACACCATTATTTGGACGCAAAAATTACGAAGCAATTTCTTTCGATGGATTTTAGAAACTCTTTCCAAAAACTATGCTTTCCTACTTTTTTTTAATTAAGTACGTTGTGTCATCGAGTATATAACACGGTTACGTAACATATCTGGTAATGTGGTAATTTCTCAGAAAATTTACAAACTTATGGTAAACAGAACAAGTAAACCCAATCAAAAAGTATATAATTCGCAAGAGAATCAAGCAACCCATTCTGCTAGATACAAATAGAATTCTCATTAATGAAGTAGATACTAGTTATCGAAACATTCAACCTTGAAAGGATTCCTAAACTATTAGGTTAAAAAAAACTTTTTTTTAATTATTTTTAGAAATTTATCAAACTTGTAGACAAGATACAAATTAATAATATAAAAACTATAGCTGTTTTGATACAGTATATAATTAATATTCTATGCAACTATGTGAAAATAAGAAGCCTTCCATGTTCTTTATGTAACGGGTGATCTAAACAAAGATATCAAAACAATTTAATCCATCTGTATAACTTCGTAATTTGCATAGTCTGAGAGAAATATTAATATGTATTCATATTCATCACAATGAAGAAAAATATCGTTTTATTTGGATGCGAGATACGGAAAAACAAAGGTTGTTTATATTAGTTTGTA